CCATTTTCTCTGATGTCATGGAAACAGACTGACTGATCCTGATCGATGATCCTGATCGATGACTCACCTGGTTCTGAGCTGTGATCCATAACGGCAGCACTCCGTTATCCCACCACTCCGATGTTTTCATGGTCTTTTTGTGAGGAACTTTTTGGTTCGTTGTCGTGTTGAACATCATGTTGTGGACGACTTCATGATCCTCCACCCACCTGCCTGACGCACAGGAAACAAGACACAAAGAGGTTTTAACATTTAAACACACTGAAAGTAGCCAGTATCAGCTTAAACAATAGTACCTGTTGTACTGTTGGTGCTTATATGACTATGACAAGATAAAATAAAATAAGACAAGATTAAGTCTTGACTCAGGGGATGATCACAGACACAAGTGCAGATAAATTGAGAAGTAAAAAATGAAAATAAATTAAAGAAAAGATCAACTGTAGAACTTTAATTAAACACCCAGTCCCTTTGACCAGCTCTGTGTAGCAGAAAAAAATGTAGCAGCAATATTTAACAATAAATTAAATGATCACCTCACAGGCTTTTACTGTGATATTTTACCAAGTTTTGAATTTTATTGTGAAACTCATGCAGGTAAATGTAGTAATTTTACAGAGGCAGTTTTTCTGTGAGATTACAGTGAGATGCAGTAATTCTACAGGAGCATACTGTTAAATCACAGTAATCAATTGTACATGATCTATGACGTTATAGTTAAATTCAGTCATTTACAGGAAGGCACTGTGTTATCACAGTAATGTAACGGGCTTTAACTGTGAGGTTACAGGTAATATAGTAATTTTACAGGAGCATACTGTTAAATCACAGTAATATGTAGGTATAACTACTGAGATCACAGTATAGGGTTGTCATACAGTAACGTACTGTGAAAGTGATGCAACTAGTAGCCAGTAGTTTCCTGTAGCTGTACAGTCAGATCTTTCACAGTGTATAGTTTGAGGTATGATATGCTACAGTATGAGGTGCAGTAGTGATGTAATGATATGAATAAAGCAGTTGGTTGTTACCGGTGATGGTGGTGAAGTGGGACGGGGAGGTCATGGTCAGCATTGGCGGGGTGATGTATTTAGCCTTGACCCCGTCCTCCACCAGCTGGTCCAGGTGCGGCGTGTCCACGTCCTGGTCGTAGTCCCACCTGAAGCCATCGAAGGAGATGAGCAGCAGCTTGTTTCTCTGCGCTGCCTTGCTCAGAGGTTTGCCGGCAGCGCAGATCACCGCTGTGACGACCAGAAGGAGCTCCAGCCTCATCTTCATCTTCACGCTGAACTGAGCGTGAGGCTTCACCTGTCTGTCGACACACCTGCAGCTCCCTCCCAGTTTAATGTGTAACTCTGATAGAGATCTGCTGAGCTGCTGCGAAGGACGAGACCTTCGACTGGAAGCAGAGCTCAAAGTGACTCTTATCGATCAGCATCAGTAATCTGTGGACCTGCTGATAGCTGCTCGCATGTCTGGCTCAGTCCAGATATTTATAATGTGTATTCATATAATTATATCACGTGGCAGGGGAAGAAACAACTGACACAGTGTTGGACCAAATAAAAGTTCTTTTTGATCATATCACAGTAAACTGATGAGGGATTCCTTTTTATTGTGTTTATAATAATTATAAAATATTTTGTTTTTTATTCTGTGTGCAGTCAGAATAACTTCAGTTTTCACTTCAGTTGCAGTTTTCACATAATTTAAAATTATTGTGAAATGTATTTGGACAAAAATTAAATATTAATAAACCAACAAGTCAAACTAAAAAAAAAACCTGAACTCAAGGTCATCTCACTGTTTCAAGGACTTTCAACCACATCTCAAGGTCTTCATCAGCACATGCCAGTCGTCATGGAGACAGCAGTAAAAGGAACCTCTGACAAAACTAAGATGACCTTGAGTTAAGATTTTTATTTATGTCAAACATCCATTTCAAATCTGAAAGGATTTGAGTGTTTGTCTGGGAAAAAAACATATCTATATTATTATTACTCTTTGACAACGTTTATATCATATTTTCATAACTGAATATGATATAAACGTTTTCAAAGAGTTCTTTCTTTAATAAATACAACTGTCACACTGAACACACTTTATATTAAAAACAAAAGCTAAACCTCTCTATAATCCTGTCATGTTCAAACCACATTGCTTCACTGCTGGTTTATCTGATTACAATATGATGACTGTAATAAAAGTTGATGCCAGATTAATGACTCATCAAACTGATTTACTCAACTCAGTAGCAGTTTGAAGGACAGCGTGAAGGGAACCATGTGAAACAGGTCAGTGAGTGTGGAAACAAAAAGGTGCAGCAGCTGATTTATGTGACTGAATGAACAGTTAGTGAGTAATGACATAAGAACTGAAGAAAATAAAAATTATCACAGTAAAAAAAAAAAAAAAGTAAAACAAGTCATCAGCTATAAAGCCTGAAAACTATCATAATTACCAAGGATTTTTTTGCTGATATGTAACGACTTATTTGACCAATAACTGATACTGATATATATCTACTATTTTCGCACCTAATTTTAGTGATCATCAAGTCTCATATATACGTACACATACATCCTCTCATCATGACGGCCCAGCAGCAGATGGAGACATGAAATACTTTTCTTTCATTGTGTAAATAAGCAAAAGCATGTTGGCTGGTTCTGATTAAAGCTGATATCAGCCGATACCTATGATGTGCTGTAACTATTGTGCATCCCTAATATTTATATTCAGTTTTTAATTGCTAAACTTATAACTAAGTACAAACTTCCCTCTTTGTGTTCGTTGACACTTGATTTTCATCTCTTGCTTCAACCCTCTGCTTTAAAACAATATATAGAGCACAGTATCGTACTGTGTAAACTGTGTGTGTTAATTTAAAACAGCATTGTTCTAAATAAAGTACTAAAATCAGTGGTTCCCAACTGGTTCATCCACAGGGTCCAGATTTCCCCTCACTCATTTCTTAAAGGTCCACATAGTTTAATACGTTCAGTGTCATACTTGTGTTTGACCATGTGTTGGAGCCAGTTTGCTGTCTCTCTGAAGACACTGTCCATTAGTCTCTTGAAGTATTTAACTTCAAAATAAAAGCTCTGTGCTGGAAATTCACTGTACTTAAAAGTAAAGTATGTTTTTTACAAACTTGACATGTTTGCGAGTCACTTGCTCCATTCAGATTGGACCTGCGACCCACCTTTGGATTTCACACTAATAAAAACAGCTGACAAAATAACTGAATATATCCGACTGTTTGAGGAAAAAGACCAGTTAAAGTATATGATTAGTCAGTGGTGGACGAAGAACCTGAGAGACACACCTGAGTAAAAGTACAGATTTCTTACCAGAAAATAACTCTATTACTTGAGTGAAAGTCTCAAAGTATCTGATATTTACTACACTTAAGTAGCAAAAGTAATTTTATGATATTAAATGTATTTAAGTATTAAGTTAAAAGTACATGCTGGTAGCAAAAAGCAAGCATTCCCAGTTCTGACAGTTAGGAAGTTTATTTCTACACCACCTTAAAAATGAGGCGCACATGAAGAAAAACAAGATTTTTTTCACAACTCAAATGAGAACAAAATCCAAATACTATTTTGTAGTGAGTAACGAAGATGCTCAGGGCAAATGTAAAGGAATAACAGTTTTGTTGAAGAAATGTAGTGGCAGAAAAATGAAAGTTGGCAGAAATATAAAAACTCAAGTAAATACGGACCCTAACAAAGTATCATTACTGCTTTACTGGATTTGGTTTACATACATTTTTATTGCTGGTTCATCTTTTCTTTAGATTTTTTGAAATCCAATTCATTTGTAAGTACCTCAAACAACAGGTGATTTTAAAATTTACGTTTGTGTTGATATTTTGTACATAGAATCATGTTGTTGTGAAGACAAAACACTATTTGTCCTTTGTAAAGATCCAAAAATAGTAATAACAATGATAATGCTTTTTATGTATAGGTGTCTTTCACAGCGCTCAAGGACACTTTACAAGAGACAATTAGAAAAACAAGCAGCAGTGTTTCCATAGATCATAATGTCAAACAATTCAGGATTTTTCAAGAAAAGTTGATAAAAAGACTCGACAAAAATCATAAATATAAATATTATTACTGCATTGAAAAGTGAAATTTTGGTTCTCAAGTACACCCATAAAACTTCTCTAAATGATTCAATATCTGTTTTTAAAATGTTCATTTTTGCACGTCACTCATTTTGACAGTAAATATAAGCACAGTGCAAAATCTAAACGAACATGCTGGCTGGGTTTAGATTAAAAAATAAAAATAATTAATAAATAAAATAAAAAAATAGATTTAAGGCCCATTAATAATAGTACAGATCCCATAGATTTCAATAATAACCAGGCAGATCCTAGTAGATTAAATGCACATCTCTTATTTTGGTGGGGCAAAGAAATCCGGAAGCACTTCTATATGAATCAAATTACTTCCGGTGCACAGAAGTTCCTGCTGCTCACGCTTATGATGTGAAGTCCTTGGAGGGTTTACTCTCAAAATGCAATAACTGTTTTCAAATTAATTTATTATACACACTGTTTAGTGTTAACGGAAACTCTCTGATCATCTGACGGCGACGGAAGTTTGTCCGGTTTCCTGAGAGCCGGTAAGAAAAGCGATAAACACTCCGTTAACCTCTGTGTTGTGTCTGTCAGTTAGCTAACGTTAGCTGTTAGCCATGTTGTCTGTATGTGCGAGGATAAGTTAGCATTAAGACGTAGGTACATGTGTTCATTCCACCTCACGGTAAGTTAAATTAACGCTACATGTTTACTGTAGTTTGCATCACCTTGATTCTGATGTGTAGAATGAAGGTGACACCAGACTCCATTTACAAAACCTGACATTTTAGAGTTTCTTGCTCATCAGACACTCACAGAGGAGTAATTAACCAAACTAAAGACATTGTATAATTAATCAGGGGTCTTATTTGACTTCGGCATGCATCTGTTACACCTAGAACATCTAAAGTCAGTCATTTTCAGCATAGTACATGTTTACTCCTATAATCTCCTATCGATATAACAGTCTGAGCTGCCTGAGGAAACCTGTCTGAGTTACTCCCCTAGGTGGTGTTGTTTGTGCCGAACTGGCCGAGAGGACCGTATATTTAAAGTCTTAATTGTTATATTCCAGCAGAGTGTGTTCAGGTGGCTACAGTCAATGAAAGTTCTGCAGTTTGTGAAGAGGATTTGGTGCAGAAGTCAACAGAATGGAGTGCAGCAGGGATCGTAGAGCTGATGAGTGTTTATGTGTATTCCGGGGGCCTGTTAGAGTCCTAGAGTTTGTAATAATAATGATAATAATAATAACAATGATGGTGGTGGAGTTTGCATGTTCTCCCTGTGTCAGCGTGGGTTTCCTCCAGGTGCTCCAGCTTCCTCCCACAGTCCAAAGACATGCAGGTTAATTGGTGACTCTAAATTGTCCGTAGGTGTGAATGTGAGTGTGAATGGTTGTCTGTCTCTATGTGTCAGCCCTGTGATAGTCTGGTGACCTGTCCAGGGTGAACCCCGCCTCTCACTCAATGGCAGGAGATCGCATCAGCAGACCTGAGTTTGCCGATAGAGGAGCTCAGACAGGTCGGGGGGAGCCAGGTTGTGGAGGGCTTTATAGGTGATGATGATGTTTGAAGTGGGGGATGGGGAGCCAGTGGAGGCTATGAAAGATGGAGGTGATGAGGTCACAGGGGCAGGAGTGTGTGAGAAGATGAGCTGCTGAATTCTGGATTTAATGTAGTTTCGGTTTTGGATGATGAACCGTAGAGGAGACGGTTGCAGTAGTCGAGTCTGGAAGTGATAAATGTGTGAATGAGAGTCTCTGCAGCTGAAGAGCAGAGGGATGGACGGAGGCAGGCAATGTTTCTGAGATGGAAGAAGGCTGTTTTGGTGATGTGTTTGATAAGTTGGTCAGAGGAGAGGGTTAGGTGAGCACAGTGGAGCCATCAATGGAGAGGAGGGAGAAGTTATGGGTGGGTCTGATTAAAGATCTGGTACCAATGATGATGATGACTTTTGATTTGTCACAGTTCAGTTGGATGAAGTTGGGTTGAAGCCAGGATTTTATTTCCATGATGCAGTTGGTGAGGGCAGAGTGATGGCTCTGGTGGAGATGTGAAACTAAGTGTTGTCAGCGAAGCAGTGAAACTGACGTCCATGACGGCAGATTATTTGACCAAAGGGGGAGAATGTACAGGATGAAGAGGAGGGGGCTGAGAACTGAACCTTGGGGAACGCCAAAGTTCATAAATTGTCTGTTCTTCTTCTTATAAACACGTTGAGTCACTCAGAGCTGATTAAATAATGAATGAGCCTCTTTGATAATAACTCATGGTCGGTAGGAAGTTCTCTAGAAACACGTTTAACAGCCATGCCTGTAGTTCATAACAAAAGTTCCCTCTGAGTGTCATCACACAGTCGAAGCTTTACCATCTCTTGTGGTTTGTTTCAGGAATGTCTTCGTTATGGAGCCTGAGGCCAGTGCTGACATCACTGTTGCAAGGTAAGTGCACACACCTGCACACTTTCAAAGGCTCTGCTTCAGGTGCAGAACTCAGCAGGTGATGAAGCTTAACAGCTCCTGCACGCTGTCTCTTGTATCAAACTGTTAATATCATTGAAATGTAAAAACTTAATGTTTGAATCTAATTTCTTTAAAAACAAACAAAAAAAAGTTAAGATATTTTTGGGCATTTTTAGCCTTTATTTGACAGGACAGACAAGTGTGAAAGGGGGCGAGAGAGAGGGAGTGACATGCAGCAAAGGGCCACAGGCTGGAGTCGAACCCGGGCCGCTGCAGCAACAGCCTTGTACATGGGGCGCCTGCTCTACCACTAAGCCACCGACGCCCCATAATTTCTTTAAAATTTTAACATGTTGATAACGTGTTTCCGTCTCTGCAGCATCCCAGCATGCCTCTGCCTGGACGGGTCCCATCCTCTCCAGGACGATGGCTACTCTCAACCAGATGCACCGCCAGGGGAAACCCAAACAACCCCCTAAGTCTATCAGCGCCACGTTCGGCCATCCCCAGCTGAAGGCGGTGGTCCTGAAAACCATGAACCGAAAGCCCAAGAAGCCCAACTCCGCCAACAGAAAGTGCGCTCGAGTGCGGCTGTCCAACGGGAAGGAGGTGGTGGTGTTCATCCCCGGGGAGGGACACAACGTGCAGGAGCACAACGTGGTGCTGGTGGAGGGCGGGAAGAAGCAGGATCTGCCCGGAGTCAAACTCCGAGTGATCCGAGGGAAATTTGACTGTGCTCACGTGGTGAAGAAGAAACAGTAGACTGAGAGAGGGAACGCTTCTGTGATGTGTGTGTGTGTGTGTCAGATGTTTAATAAATACATGTGTTCGTCATCATCATGTCGGTGACTGGCTTCAAACTGACGTCAAAGTTTTAATGGAGATGTTAAATACACTGCATGGCCAAAAGTATGTAGACACCAGCTCAGTCCACCCATATAACAGCCTTTACTCCTTTAGCTCCCGACGTGATGTTTAATCTGCTGCGTTCAGACTCCAGAGTGTCGGCGAGGTCCAACACCAGTCAGTGTTCCAGTTCATCCCAAAGGTGCTGGATGGGATTGAGGTCCACACAGTTTATATATTCAGCATCATGCTTGTGTTTGGCCACGTGTTGGAGCTGGTTTGCTGTCTCTCTGAAGTCACTGTCCATTAGTTGCTCACTCTACTCACTGTACTTCAAACAGAATGTCTTTTACAAACCTGACGTGTGTGAGTCACTTTCAGTCCATTCAAAATGGACTGGGGACCCACCAGTTGGGAACCACTGCATAACCCATATTAATGATTCAAAGCAAATTCTGAGTAAAAACTAGCAAGGAAGGTTCCTAAATGTTTGGTTTTACACATTTAAAAAGTGTCTGCAGGTCCTTGAAATGTCTTAAATTCAGTTTAATAAATATTTGGCCTTAAAAGTCATTAAATAGTTTTAAATTTGATTGTGAGGGGTCTTTAAAGCCACAAACATTCTATGTATTTTCATTTAGCTTTTAATTTCTTGTCAAAATTAGAAACGCTCTACTGTGTGAAAGTCCACATATCTGATGTTACATATTTTAAACCTGCCACTGAACTTAATACTGCTTTTTACTTTGTACTTACACTTATCTGTTGACAGGATGTAGATCAGCCTATAACTCACTCTAATAACCATATTATATAAAAACCTCTCTCTGCATGGCACCACATATATACTTACCCTTTTTTATGTGCAATGCTTTTTAAAAATCAGTCTTAGATTTGGTTAAAAATAATCTTGAAAAAGGTTAAAAAACTATTAAAGTGTCTGATAACTGTAGATCTGTAAAAAAAAAAAAAAAAAAGTGTTGCCTGATGTAAAGCACAGCGGTGGAACTCAGATGCCTTCAGTAAATATCAATTTACTTATTGTCAGAATCACAAATAATTTATTGATTTATTTATTAAGTGGAAATCATGATCCATTACAGTCACTCTGAATTAAAGAATAGAGACGTAAGATAAAGTATGAAATAGAATTATGTAAATATAAAGTAATAAAATAGAAATAAAACTGTGCATTAAGCTACAATGCTAACACCAGTAGTTAAGATATTTAGAATAAAATGAATATTTTCACTGGTCTGAGTCTGTTAGTGTAACTGATATTAATAAAATTATTGATAATTTTGAGTGATGAATATTAACATTGAGACACAGACCTTAGCCGAATCACCCAGCTCCTCCATGGCGACACTCGCAATACCAGAAAAGACGCTTTTGACATTGTCCAGGAAGAAAATACCACCAAAGTCTTTAAAAGGACGATAAAATGAAACTCCACAAACATTATCTTTTGAATATGATAAGATAAAAATGTATTTATTGTTGTGCAGCAGTTGCATTACAAAGTAGAAACGAGTGCAAATACATAGAGTGCAAACGAACAGTAAAGATTATCAATAAAATGCAAAAATCAAATGTACACAATGACAGCTGTAAACAGGTTATTAACAGGTGAGCGATGTCATAAATATGACTGGTTAAAAGAAAAAGTAAACCTAGTTAACAGCGAGGATCACAGAAAATAAAAACACTGAAGGCAAAATAAATAAAAATATATTTATAACATCCACCTAAAATAAAAGCAGTTGCAGTTCACCTTCCGACCAGCAGCGGCAGCACTGAGCGTAAAGCCGAGCAGATGCTGAGTGAAGAAGACGGGCGCCATGTTTGATTTTACGTTGAATCCACCTGCACTTCACCGGTGTTGCAGTCGTGTTTTGGATCTTCATGCGGCTCCTGAAATCGACGTGATTTCTCCTGACAGGCTGTTGAGAAGTTCCCCTTTTCCCAAGTGCGTAAATATGTTCGACATTGATTCATAAAAAAATAACTTTATTAGCATTAAACGACAGAAACAAGTGTTTTGCCAACGCAGCTGTTCAGGACTGAGTTACGTTGTATGACGCCTGCATCAGAGCTAGCAAACACAGCTAGCATTCCACTGAGCCAAAGTCAAACCAGTCGTCTGCTCCGCGAGGATTTAAACACTTCGTCAGTATTTCTGGACCTTTTATAACGTCTCTGCTCTCCATCATTCTGCTGAGAACAACGGTAACGATACGTGTTTGTGCGTTTCGGTGAACGTTAACGCTTTTGTTGACGATTAGCAAGCTAGCTTAACCGTTAGCTTCTGAGGGAAATATCTGCTCGGTGTTCATTAATTAATCTCATCTCTGATTGGCTGAGTCGCTGTAAAACGCAACAATTGACGCGTCGCACAGGTGTAACGGTGCTAGCTAGCTTTAATGAGTTTAACATTGTGTGTTGATGAACGGTTTATGTGATACTAAACTTTAAATACACGACGAAGTGACGTTTTCGATGCAGGACAAACTTGTATCAGTATTTAGCAGCGTGGTGTTAAAACAAATGCTCTGTTTTCACTGCTGTGAACTATACATGGTCCGTGAAGTGGACACTGGTGTCTCCACAGTTTAGTCCTTTTGTCAAGGGTCTGTTGTGTCTACAGGCCCCGTGTCCAATGAATGGAAATATTAATGCTCCAGTAGTTTTTATACACAAAACCCTTATTGCAGGGTCCACTTATGACACTATATGTCCACAGCTTGTCCTTTTCCTGTCTCACCCTGACAATGTCCCTGTGCTCAAAGCAGCTCCATAAATAAATGTCTCTCCCAGTTTGGTGGAGAAGAACCAAACCTCCACATTCCTATAAAAACACCAAAGACATGACAGGATAGAGCTGTACAGTGTTTTCTGGGGGTTCACAGATCGATAGATGCATCGAAAATGTGAAATGATGCGATTGTGCAACTGCTTAATCAAAATGGCAGAGGACAGAATGAATGAGAAGGTGTTTATCTATTTATTCTCCATGAGCAAAGGAGCTTTGAGGAGGTGGATGGGTTGTACATTTACAGGATCAACTTGCTGCAGTCTTAACTCTATTAAGAAAGAGCTGAAATCTGAAGAAAAATAGTTTGAGGACATCCCGTCAGTGTCTAAATCAGAGACAGGTAGGGCTGCCACGATTAGTCGACTAATCGATGACTAATCGACTATTAAAATAACCGGTGACTATTTTAGTAGTCGACTAATCGGTTTGAGTCATTTTTCATAGAGAAGTACCCCAAAATACTCCTATTGCAGCTTCTTATGTTCAGATATTGGCAGCTTTACACACTCTCCCGTGACAGTGAACTAAAAACCTTAAGCATGAAAAAGAAACAAGACATTAGATGACGTAATTTTGGGGTTTGGGCGAGACAGACCAACATTTTTCAACATTTTAACACATTTTTCGATGAAATGATTAGTCGACTAAACGAAGAAATAATTGACAGATTAGTCGACAATGAAAATAATCGTTAGTGGCAGCCCTAGAGACAGGACAAGTTTGACCCTGAACCATCTGTAACATCCCGTTTATCTGGAAGCCAAAGATCTGTAGCTGCACAGCTGAGAGCTGGTGTTCTTCCTCTGGACACTGAGATCAGAGATTAAACGATATTCAGGAGAAGAACAGAATATGTGAGCTGTGTGATTTGGGTGAAGTGGAGATTGAGTCCCATTTTCTTTGATATTGTACAAACTACGATGACCTGAGAGCTTCTGTGAAGTGGCTTGTCTAAACCCTGACTACCTAGAGGTTGTTGAATTTTGATGTGTTTACGTTGGTCAATATTGTGGCTAAAGCTTGAAGGGCAGATAAGACAGTTGGTTTAATGAGTATTTATTTTGATCTCTTGCTTTCATTTTTACATGATGAATGTCTTGTGAGGGATCCATGAACTTGGTGTTACAAATTGATGATCTGATTATATACGAGGGTTTTGCTGCTTTGTTCAATTTTCTTTCCTTTAAATGCCGTCTGGTTTTATGTTTGCTGTACTCTGACCCCGGCTCCCTCTGAATGTATGGTGTCTTGTAAGCCCTGCAGGCTGGGCATAACTACTTGCATGACACAATAATAAAAACATATTAATTCATTCATTCTTGACCTCAGTGTCCTCAGTGGAAGCTACAGTCCTGATCAGGACATGACTGATTTCTAACCGTGTCCCAATGTCTTTGTCTCAGAGGCCCTGCGGAGACGTGTCCACCCTCAGACGGAGTAGAGCATGAGGAGATGAATGGAGTGAAAGTGGAAGCAGAAGAAAGAGGAGAGGACTGTCAGCAGCTTCCTGCTCAAGGTCAGGACTTATTTATTGGAATACGTCCACGCTAAACTGGCTAATTTTCTAAAAATCAGATTAAAAAGTTTATGAATCCTCAGTGGGGGAACTCCTTTGCCACCAGGAGCAACTCGTACAGACAACAATTATTGTACACAGCATATTCACAAGATACAAGATGCAAGATACAAGAAATAAATAACATAAAAGAGCAGGCATCCTATATACAAAGGCAGTGTCCTTGCTGCAGCAGCCGTGAGGTCGATTCCAGCCTGTGGCCCTTTGCTGCATGTCGTCCCCTCTCTCCCCCCTTTATGCTCAGACTGCCGCATCTAATAAACGCAAAAAGCCAAACAAAAAAAAAATCCCCCCCAAAAAATCTGACCACTGCAGGGGCGCCCGGTGGATTAGTGGGTAGAGCAGGCGCCCCACACACAAAGGCAGTGTCCTTGCTGCAGCAGCTGTGGGGTTGTTTGCAGCCTGTGGCCCTTTGCTGCATGTCGTCCCCTCTTTCATGCTTCGACTGTCTGATCTATAACGGCAAAAAGAAATCTGAAAATCATAAAAAAAACAAACGACCTGCTGAATCGTTCAGAACAACACTGAGGCATTTCGAGTCGCTCACTGAATGAGCTTCTGAGTTTATTAAAAACACAGTGTGATGGATTACCTTGATAATACAGAGCTGTTTCATGTTTGACCCTTGCTCTCTTTGCTATAGTGACCTCAAGTGAAGTTGGAATAAGGCCGATCACTGAGCAGCCTCTCTGATTATCTTATTGATCCTGTTTTTATCATCTGCCCTGTGCTGCCCCCCCAGCAGAGCGCAGCACAGGGCAGGACACCAGCTCAGATTCCCTGATAACAAAACATGTAGAAACTGCAGCGTCCAGTAGCTCTATGGGCAGAGTGGGCGCCTCACTTCTTTTACTTTTTGAACTTCTTTTTATTTTGAGTTCAGTCGATCATATGAAAGCACAGGAGCCCATCTAGTTAGAAATCAGGAGTAAGGAGGTTGGATGTTTTCCAGTATCCCAAACATTTTGGACAATCCCGAAATATGTGTGTATGGTCACCGACCACGCCACAGCCCCTCCAGATCTGATGAGCTACCAAATTTGATGTCACCACAAGCATATTAAAAAAATCTCATCTTCATCTTTCCATTTGAACTCCTTCCAGATAGGCTGCTTGTTCCGTTATGTCCCCCTCTGCAGGATAATTCACACTCTTTATTTGGAATTATGACGTTCATCTCCAGTTCCCATTTTTCTTTAATATCAAAGCTGTTATCCAAAGATTTCTCCTGGAATATTTTATATATATGTGATATAATCTTCTCTGTAATAGTTCCCTTTATTGTTAACATAAGAAAGCGTTGTAAATTAGATGTTAAAGCACATAATTTCCCCCAGGCCTCTTGTTTCTGTACACAGCGTCTCAGTTGGAGATATCGAAAGAAATGGACAGAGCCAGGCTGCTGTTCCCCCTGTTTCCAGTCTTTATGCTAAGCTATGCTAATCAGCATCTCTTCACACTGTACAGACTCAAGAGAGGAATCAATCAGGACTCAGAGAGAAAGAGAAGAAGTATGTTTCCCCAAATGTCAAACTTATTCCTCTAAACACTTCTACCTACACTCTGATTTTATTTACAAAATGAAAATTCGTGCAAATTAATAACTCTTCAAATAAATCTCAGGAACCTGCCTAAAGGTGACAGCAACACCTGACACTCATCTGAGGCTCTGCTGCATCACTATAAACCAGTCAATCAGTAAATGTATTTCAGAAAATGTTGAACTGTAAACACACACACACACACATACACACAGTTTATATTCTGTATGAAATGGATAATTCTTTGAGACAATGATGTCACTATTGTTTCTTACAGGAGACACTGAGACACCAGAAGAACCTGCGCCCAAACAGAGCAGCCGTCAGCCTCGACGCCGTCACAGCTGTTCAATATGCGGCAGGGAGTTCTCTCGTCCGTCTCGGTTGGCGGACCACATGGCCGCGCACGCTGGCGACAAACCGCACAGCTGCTCCATTTGTGGGAAGCGCTTCACCAAGAAGATCAACGTGGTGGTGCACCAGCGGGTTCACACCGGTGAGAAGCCGTACACCTGCCCGGACTGCGGGGTCAGCTACGCCCAGCTGGGCTGCCTGCGGAGGCACCGGCTCGGACACGCCGCAGAGAAACCCCACCACTGCACGGTGTGCGGCCGCGGCTTCATTCAGCGGCGGCATCTCGTACAACATGAACGGACGCACACTGGAGAGAGGCCGTTCTGCTGCCCGCTGTGCCCCAAACGCTTCGCCTCCAGGACGGGCCTCAGCGATCATCAGAGGAGCCACACACAGGGGAGCCTCTACTCCTGCTCAGTCTGCCAGAAGGTTTTCTCCACGCCGTCATCCTTCAGGGACCACGTGAGGCTCCACACCGGGCAGAAGCCTCATCCCTGCTCACTGTGCTCCAAGAGCTTCAACCGGCCGGGCCTGCTGAAGAAACACCTGCTGAAACATGCGGAGGAGGAGGATGATGTGGTCAGAGTTGTAGGAGCAGATGGAGAGGTGAGTGGCTGGGTTTGATTTTGAATCCAGCCCTCAGTGGGTTGATGATTTTGGTTTTCACTGACCATTGAAACATCATTTTGTTCTCAACAAATTATACAATGTACATCAGTAAAGATTGAGTTTAAGTGTGATTAAAGTGTTCCCCTGATCTTTTTTTGAGCAGTGTACTTCTAAAACTAATTAAAGGGTTAATGAATGTCACAGAGCAGCAACTAAATATCTGGTGAGAGCTTTCTGACATTGATCCTACATTGTCTCACACATCAGGAGGCAACTTTTTACCGCTGCTTACTGTGCCACAAAGATTTCTCCACCCCCGAGAAGCTGCAGTACCACAAGGTGCTCCACCAGAGGGCGCGGCAGTTTGTGTGTGACATCTGCGGCCGAAGCTTTTCCAGAGGGTCCCGGCTGAGGGAGCACGTCCGCTCTCACACTGGAGAGAGGCCGTACCAGTGCGACATCTGCAAGAAACGCTTCTCCATGCAGAGAGTGTTCAGGAAGCACCAGGAGATCCACACCAGGGCCACCATGCCTGAGAGCAGCTCCACACTGTTGGAGGCGGATGACAAGGTGAGCCTGCTGCCTGACCAGTCAAAGGAAGTCTAATAGACAATTTAAAAAAATAATTAAAAAAATTATAAATAAATAAAAAAGAAAAAAATATGGATGTAAAAATAAAGTAAAAATAATAATAATAATAATAATAATAATTAAAAATTGGAAAATGATGACAAAATAACTAACTTGTGTGACATTATATGGATATAAAATAAATAAATAATAATAATTAAAAAAGAATTTAAATAATTAACTTGTGTGACATAAGTAGGGGAGTTCAGCATGTTTCATTACAATTTATCTGCTTCCATATTTGCCACAAACGTTAAAAGACGATGAATTGTTTAAGAGAAAATGAGTCAATAACTATTCTGATAATCGTTTGATTTCCTTTTCAAGCACAAATGCCGACAATCAGCTGCTTCCACTCCCTTTAGATGTGAAGATCTGCTGCTTCTCTCTATTCAGTGAATGTTTTGGACTGTTAATCAAACAGCTGCTGTTTGTTACAGAATACTGACGGTGGCGAGGCGGTGGTGCATTCAGTGCCAGGTGAGAACATCAGTTCATGTTTGCTGAACCACAAAAGACAGTCTAGACTGAAATAATGACATTATATACCAGGTAATTATGCAGAGTCAAATTTATTCTCATCACATCAGAGCTGCTTTTCTCTGTGTTTTACTTCCAACACATTGTAAAACCTGTTAAACTGAAGATAAATAAGAATGTAGGTTTACTTTCTCTCCCGTCTGAGTCCTGCTGATGCTGAACTTTGTTCCTGTGTTGGTATATTCAGTTCCTGTAAAGAAGCCCCACAGCTGCTCGGTCTGTGGGAAGAGCTACTCGAGGCCCTCCAGACTCAGAGAGCATTTAAAGATCCACGCGACGGAGAAGCTGCACCACTGCTCGATGTGCACCAAGACCTTCACCACCACGACCAACCTGAGGGCTCACGAGAAGACCCACATGGCCCACAAACCTCACTGCTGCAGCATCTGCCCCAAGAGCTTCCTGAGGCCCTGCCTGCTCCGCAAACACATGAGGATCCACATCAAGGACGGACTCATCGCCACCCCCGCTGACAAGGTGAGACCTCTGGACACCAGGAGAAGAGTTCAGGGTTACAGGGAGAGTTTGGGTTTTTTGAAGTGTGGTTGTATGAGCATACACTTAGACAGTGTGTGAAAGTGATGAGGTGATGTGGTCTGTTGCAGGAGTTCTGGCTCAACATGAAGACTGAAGAAGAGGAGGAGGAAGAGGGAGAGGAGGGGAGAGATGATGGAGGGATAAAGGAGGAGGTAAGAAATTCAGCTGTTATGTAACAGATTGAGTCATTTAATGATCATCATGTGTGATGATGGAAAGCTCCGGAGGAAATACTAAAGCCCTGTTTCCACTTTCCAGAAATTTCCATTTAAAAATAGCAGCTTTGTGCATTTAGTCCTTCTCAGGCAAGCTCAGGGGTTTAGTGTTGCTGTAGCCCACAGGAAGTGAGGATTAGAATATATGACCTTCACATAATCCGCTCCAAATTAATCTATATTTTTAAAGTCATTACTAAAAGTGTGTGTCATATAAAAACTAAAGTGATGGTCAAAGTTGTCACAGTGAAATTTGGGACCAAACATGGGGACGTTAAGGAACGCTTCTGTTGGTACCATCCACAACTTTTCACTGTGGGAACAGAGAAAAATGCAAATTGAACTGAACTGCTTGGTGGAAACAGGGCTTAGTTGGACCTTAAGTTGAGATTGTTTTTTCTTTAGGACTCGAAGGAACTTTCTCCCACTGCTGAGACCCTCATCACTGAGTCCAGACCTCCACCTGTGAACCACGGTGACGAGGAGATCTCACCATTAAAGAGGGACATTAAAGAAGAAGGCGTGGAGGGAGACGTCAGTGGTTTAATCAACTCTGATGGAGAGGAAGAGGACTGGAAACCGGCGCTGATCGGTACGTCAGCAGTTTTACTAATAAGACAAACTAATTGTCAATTATGAGAAATTAAAATTCTGTTCGTGTGCGTTTATAAATTCGCAAGTTAGTAAGAGTTTATTTTAGATACACAAAGTTTAGTGAAACCAAATAACGATCCATCTCTCTGATAATCCCCTTCATGTCACTGACAGAACAAGATGGCCGTTCAGAGATTGAGGCTGACAGCAGTGGCGGGAAAAAGAAGCACTGCTGTCCTGTTTGTGGTCGAGATTGTTTCAAGGCATCGGCGCTACAGAAACACCTGAGGATCCACTCAGGCGAGCGTCCGTTTCAGTGCCCCACCTGCAGAAAGAGCTTCACCCAGCACGTGCACATGACGGAGCACCAGAGGATCCACACCGGGGAGAAACCCTACACCTGCACCGACTGCAACAAGAGCTTCACCTTCTCCAGCGCCCTGCGCCGACACCAGCGCCTGCACACAGACGCCCGGCCGTACCAGTGCTCCGTGTGCCAGAAGACCTTCAAACAGCAGAGCTCGCTGAAAAGCCACCAGATGACGCACTCAGGGGTCCGCTACCAGTGTCCGCTCTGCAGCAAGAGCTTCAGCCGTGCCCTGGAGCTCACCTACCACGTGGACGTGCACTCCGACACTCGGCCGTACTTCTGCAACATCTGCAAGAAGAACCTGAGCGGAGCCAGGATCTTCCGCAACCACATGAAGAAACACGAGTCACCAAACCTGCCGCTGCTGAAAGCAGAACCGACAGAGACAGAGATCTCAGAGGTTTGATGGCACAGAGGAAAACCATCTGTCTCTGTAAAGACCTTTGACTTTTCAGCAGTCAATCATGTGTGGACGATAAGTTGGTTGGCAAAGTTCACACTACAGGACTTCCAAAGTCGTCAGATGACTGCACTGCTCACACAACACAACTTGCTCTCTTGTAAGTCGTCGTGATTTTCACACTATGTAACTGAAACAGGAAATCACACAGTTACCAGGAGGAATCCCCGATGATGTCATGTGATGCACAGGTTGGGCAGGTGCTTACAAATATCACAGGCTGTTAATAACTTAAGCTGCATTTTCGCCAAAAACATTCAGAATAGTACCGTTACAGTCGTAAGTAACCCGCACAGACATGAACCTAGACTGTGAATCTGTTTAGTGTAAATGTAGGCGGGGTTGTGTTACTCAGCTTTCTGTGATGCAGAAGAACGTCTGCACCTTGTTTATCGTCCACAGAACAGGGTTACGTGTTGACATTTTCGAAACACAGAACAACAGGCTGCAGTGAGAGTCTCTCAAAAAAAGCAGCTTCATGCACCGAGTCCTTGTCAAGCAAGAGCAGGAGCGTAGTAGCTCCGCAGCACACTGGGACGACGCTCTGCTATGTTTTTTTTCTCCAAGTCTGAAAACAGAATATTTGCAGTTCACATGATCCTGTAGCAATTCATATACATTTTTAAAGGCCTGAAGATCCAGTCATTACTAAAGCGAATCTGATCCAAGAGAGAATAAAAACAAATGTAATGATCAAAGTTGTCATATTGACATTTAATGTGTGCTGATAGATTCACGTCATCAACTCTTGCATTGAGTAAAGGCCAAAACACACCAGCAGCGAATGCAGGGTGTCATAAAATACTCCTCCTTGACTCCTCCTGTGCTGCCCCGCTGCATTTCACGCCACTGTCCTATTTCCAGCCTCGCCACACCTGGTATTAAACTCATTTCCCCCACTCGCTCTCTGCTTGTACAGACCAGCTCCTACAGCAGCTCGACTCCTCTCCTCACCATGGATGCATAAAGAGAACTCTGTAGCTGTTGCTGTGTCTCGTGTGATGAAGAATGGATGAGGAGAGACTTGTGGTTGAGGTTAAGAAATATCTCGAGCTAAATGACCCACAGTCCTGTCGTTATAAAGACAATGGCCAAAAAGATACTTCCTGTTGAGTCACAGCTCTGGAGATCAGCTCTTCAGGTGAGAAGTCAAGTTTAATTAGCTGCTGCCCCACTTGATTTTAAGCTAACACAGAGGTAGAAGAGATACAGATTTTTCAGTTACACCAGTTGACGCGTTCAGTGTGTGCTGGATACGGCACTTGACGCGTGTCACATGATACACTGCGGCGGCGCCGGTGTGTTTTCAGCTTAACATACAAGAAAACATTCCACCTTAAAAGTTGCCAAAGCTGCCAACAGTAGCCTTTGAGCAGCACAGTGAATCCTCAACGAGTAAAGATGAAGAAGCAGCAAAACATAATTTTATTTTATAGTTATAGTTTAGTAATGTGTGTAAATTTGCCACCGTAGGAATAATGATTACCAAACCTGTCACAACTGACCTCTGAGCAGAGTGACGGCTCTCTGTTGACCAATCAACGGACTGCAGTGGTGTTGGCTCCACCTTTTAGTATCGACAGTTCTGTTTGTACCATCTGTAACCGTTCATAATGGAAATGCAAAAATAACCAGCTAATGTGTGGATGTGTACTGGACTGTACTGCTCGGTGGAAACGAGGTGTTACAGAAACATCAGTCTCCTCTGTCACTTTCTCTTTCTCCCTCTCAAACACACATTCACACAGCTGAGAGCACCACTGTCCTCTGTCCTCTGTCCTCAAACCCTGTCCTGGCTCTCATTGGCTGTAGCTCGCCAGCAGGTCCCTGACAGGTCCAGATATTTAACCTGCTAGATATCCGGGGAGCGTCTGCGGTGCATTGGTGACCTTCTCAGCTCATGTCTTTGAACAGTTCACACAATTTGCCTCTGATCCGGAGCTCCAAAAACTGTCGGCAAGTGGAAAAGTGGGGCTGACGTGGTGTGAACGAGGCCTAACCCAGGGGTCGGCAACCTTCACTATCTGAAGAGCTATTATTGGCCAACAAAGAAAAAAAATCTGTCCGAAGCTGCAGAACATATTTGAGCCTCATGATAAAGTTAACACAGACGTTTGTTAACCAACAGATGCAAATGAACAATCATTCATATGTTTTAGCACAACGTGGCTGTTAATACTTTAACTTTGCAGTCCTGCCAATGAAAGCAAACAAATTTGTCAAAGCACGATTAAATTCTATGAGACTTTTCCCTTTTTGAATTCACAGCTATGAAGACTCAAGACTACTGCAGCCATCACCAGTGATGCTTTTACAGGAAAAGGCGCCAGGCCAGACGTATGACGGATATTTTAGTTGACAGAATGTTAAAGCATTTTTTAAAATCAGTGTATAGGCTACACATTCTTACAGTTGAAGTATGTAAGAATCGCTTCAAGCTGTTGTTTAAAAGCGAACGGTTATTTATTTCCATATAATTTACCGTCAAAGCCACAGGGGGCCCCTGGAGAGGGGCTGAAGAGCCGCATGTGGCTCTGGGGCTGCAGGTTGCCGACCCCTGTCCTATGGATGCGTGTCTGCTGCTGTGTTTTTTTTTTTTGTTATTTATTTTTTTACAGCAGTAACAGTACCTTGATGTGCTGCATTGTCGCTGTCATAGATGTTTGAGGTGACGCTGCACAAAGACGATGATTCAGTGATGTGACATTAGCAAAGGTATTCTCTATTTAGGAAGATTTGATATGCAGCAGAGTTTTCTATGAGCAGAGCACACATTTAAAATGTCAATATCACACTTGATCATTTTTATTTCACTGTCGAGCCCAAATCATGATCATGACTGATATTTGATTTCTTGTGCGGCCCTGTGACTAGTTAGTGAAATCAAAGTCCTGTGTTACAAACAGAGTGGGTATGTTTATCTTGTGGCCGTCCACAGTGATACAAATTGATTTGAAGAAACGTGTCAATCGTAACTTTATTTCCTGAATAACAATAAGTAACTGCAGGTAGAGTTCATGTCCGTTTCTATCAAATCATTTGAGCTTTCCTCAGTAATGTTCCTTCTGAACATCTCACTTTCAGAATGATAGAAAACGAGACAATGGACCAAACTGCTGAACTGTTCATTTAGATTCAGCTCCGACTAATTTCCTGTTTATTCAGTTTTTCTCATTTCTCATTAAAAAAAACCTCAAGTTTTGTTTTGGTGCTAAAATAAAAATGCTGTGAATGAAGTTCAGTCTTTTAGTCAGTGAGAGTTCACTTCTTCACTGACATCACTGGTTGTGCCACGGCTCAGCAGCCTGCAGCCACATGTGGCTCTTTATCCCTTCTACACTGGCTCCTGTGGGTTTGTCAAAAAGGAAATAAGTTATTTTTTAACATTTTTATTTTCATGCATCATTGTTCTAGGCCTGAAGTGATTTCACACTCTCCGATTGTAAAAAATGTGCAGCCTATACACCGATGGCTAACGATGGATTCCAAATCCAAAAAAGTAAAACACAGATTTGTTTGTTTTCAGAGTTAAAGTAGCACATCATCATGAACAGCTCACTGCAGAGGAGCGACCTCATGGTAAAACATATGAATGAATGCTCGTTTAGGGCCAGTAGTGATGTTGGTAGGCTCGTTTAGATTCCTTCGTTAGGAGGCTCAAAACAGTTTTGTGGCTCCAGACTTTGTGGCTCTTCTAATAGTAAAGGTTGCCGACCCCTGAGTGAACACACAGACAGTTTGTGCTGAGCGACGAGGCCGTTCTGCTGCTACAGAGTGTCAGTGTGTCATTCCGGTCCTGCAGGTGGAACCAAAGGCAATGAACGCATCACTTATTTATTTATAGTAGAAAATCACTGAGACTCTGCTGTCGTCATGTTTCTCACGATCACTGACTGTTCAATAAAGTGACTGAGACACTAAACGTTCTGTCATCCACTCTTTAACCCTTTAAAATCCTGGAGAGACGTCACTGTTCTTGTGCTGCTGTCAGACTCCTTTTGCAAGTATTTAACCTTTGAACCCTGAACACACTGGTGCGATTGCTTTCAAAAACATGGGAAAAAAGGCAACGAGCAACTTGGTAAGAAATGTTCTACAAACTGCAAAAAATAATGGATTTAGAAAATTATATTTATTTATTATAATTTTTAAGCACTTTTCCCAGGTCATTTCCTTGTTTTTTTGTTTTTAACTTTATTTTTTTATATACTAATTTCTTGCAGATTTTTTGTGTCATTTCCTCTTTTGTTGCTCAGGGTTAAATCATCTAAAAGAAAAGAACTGAATTAAAGTGTTTAACTGTTTAGTCCAGTTAACGAAGAATAAACTTTTTCACATCACAGTTATCACATCAGTCATCACTGACGCTGAACAGCTAACCTGCTCCAGAGCAGGTTATGTAGAGAGCATCAGATCAGATCACAGCCTGTCATCACCCTGACCTCTGACCAATCAAATTAAAATCAATCAAACCAGATAATGAGAAGATTTCCTGGGTACGTTGAACTGGTTTCGTGTTTTGGAGAGGATGGTCCTTTCCCAAACAATGTGCTGCAGTGTGTTTGTCATGGAAGACACTCCATACAAAGAAAGTTCAGTGAGACGACCTCACACTCCTTTAACGGCTCAGACTAAGATAGACATTAACTATTGTCATACAGACATTAACACCTCAAATATATCCTCCCGTAGTATCTAGAAAACAGTCGTCATGTTTATTTTACAGTAAAGTTTCACAGGAACTGATGCAAAAACTGAGCAGTTTATAAACAGTAAAAAACAAGATGTTCACAGTAGTAGAAGAAAAGAAAAGCCACCAAAGAAGCTTAGAAGGAAGATTTATTTCAATTTATGTATGTTTTTATTTATTTATTTACTCAGCCTTCTTATTTATGTATTATTCATTGATGTATTTATTTTAATGACAAAAGGATAAAGTACAAAAATTCAGGTAAGCCTACAGATGAAATATAAGTGCTACAAAAACATATGAACAACATAAGATTATTTTTTCTCCATGATAACGAAAACTTACGACAGTTCCCTACTCCTTAATGAAGGTGCTTCGTTCAGCTGTAAAGGTGACGATAAGCAGAGTTACACTCCGTGACGAACTGGATGTGAGGAGGGTTTGGTTTGGGAAATAATTCAGCTCCTGGTAAAAACCTCCCGAACAGTTAACACTGAAGGAATTCTAACCAGGAGAAGTTTCAGCTGGTTGCAGTGTGCAGTGCTCACCACTAGATGCCACTAAATCCCCCTAAATCTGACACACGGTATGATGAACATGTAATATTTCAACACAACATTTTATTTCAAACATGAGAAGTTACAGTAAATCTGAAATTTGATTTTCTAACTCGATAAACAACATAAAAAAAATAAAGGTAAAACCTGTGGGAGGAAACAACCTCTGAGGAAACACAAGAGCTCATGTTTACAGATTCATCATGGCGTCTGTTGCATGGTGACAGTTGGCCCGGCGGACGTCATAGGCGTCTCCTCCAGCCTTCACAAAGTCACCAACCGTCTTCCTCCCGTTAAATTCTTTGGTTTCCACCGACTGCAGAGAGAAAACACAAAAACAGGAGGATGAACAAACACAGTTAGTCTGTCCCATCTTGTTCATCCATCCATTTTTATCTGCTTATCTGGAGCTGGGTCGCGGAAGCAGCAGACTGAGCAAAGCACCCCAGACGTCCGACTCCTCAGCAACACTTTTTCCATCTCCACCTGGAGGACCCTGAGGCGTTCCCAGGCCAGATGAGATATGTAATCCCTCCAGTGTGTTCTGGGTCTGCCCCGGGGCCTCCTACCAGTGGGACGTGCCCAGAACACCTCTAACAGGCGGCGCCCAGGAGGATCCTGATCAGATACCCGAACCATCTCAACTAACCCCTTTCAATGAGAAGGAGCAGCGGCTCTACATCAAGCTCCCTCCAGATGTCTGACTCCTCCCCCTATCTCTAAGGCTGAGCCCAGACACCCTACAGAGGAAACTCATTTCAGACGCTTGTATCTGTGACCTCATTCTTTCAGTCACTACCCAGAGCTCATGACCATAGGTGAGGGTTGGGACGTACATGGACCAGGAAATCGAAAGCTTTGCCTTCTGACTCAGCTGGTGTGCATGTTTCTGAGCACACTGTCAGAAACAGACTCCAGGAGGGTGGCATGAGGGCCAGATGTCCTCCTGTGGGACCTGAGCTCACAGCCCAGCACCGTGCAGCTCGATTGGCATTCACCAGAGAACACCAGAACTGGTAGGTCCGCCGTTGGTGCCTGATCCGCTGATCTCATCATCCTCTCAGAGGGTAAGGAGCTCCTGGACCTCATTGTTTTCACAACTTGCGGACATTTTCAGGCGCTGTTCTTCTGATTCTTTGAGGTAGCTGCTAACTGCTATTAGCTACTTTTTAAATCTCTGGTGATGAATTGCAAACATAACAAGTCCGCAAAACGTCAAGCCCGTCCTGCCCATGCTTTTGTCCTGCCAGCTGTGGTGTTTATACAGACATCATTTCTCCACTGTCTCCCATTGTAGGACTGTACCTTCAACGCAGCATGGCGAGGCAGCGTAACAGCGTGAAACTCCTGCCTTGAAGAAGCAGTGTAAACGGGGCCGTAGATTTTACTAAAGTAACAAGTCCATGACTCGTCTCCCTGCAGCAGACATGAGCTCATACATGTCATGACCATGTGTCCACACACTCAGAAGTCAAAGCACCATTTGTTAGAACTTGTTGACATATCAGAGCCCTGTAAAACAAATAAGACTGATATGTGGCTCACCTTCCACTTTGAGCTCATGTTTTCAGCGCTGGTCACCACCATCTGAGAGTCGGTGCCGGTGTCTCTTTTATGGATGAGCCACTGAGATCCGTCCTCCAGTGTCACTCTGAGGAACAAACAACAGTTAAAGTGTTTTATCTTCATTATTCATATTATATGTCGTGTCAGCTGAGTGTGTTTGGACTGACTTGACTCCAGAGTGGCTGATTGGTCCATATGCAAATAGAAGGGATCTTATCGGCCGCATCACCTTCTCAGCACGAACAACTGGAGACTCATAGGCATAGTCAAGGTCTGTATACTCGTCCACTGTATTCCGGACCACTGAATTCTCGACCACTGTATTCCCAATCACCGGACCGACTGACAGCAGCACATCAGTGAGATTAATTTAAAGTCACAGAGAGGTTGTAGAGCAGCACAGTAACAGCTTTAAACCACATTTTACTGCACAATCCCCCCAAAAAACTTACTGATAGAAGCTGCAGTTCCAAGAAACTCGCCAGACTCCACAGTAACAGCCAGCAGAGTGAGCGTCAGAGCACAGAGCAGCATCCTGAAGGAAAACATGTTGGATTATAATCTGGTTTATGTCTCCCCGTCAGAGGACAGTGAGACAGTCAGGTGGCACTTTATAGAGTCCTGACTCTCCTCCCTGTTTGGACACAGCTTATCTGTCCCAGTCAACATCGCTGTCTGTCACGTGTCAGGATGTGTCTGTGATCTCTACACCGCTGACAGTAAACACACCAAAGTTCATCCAGTCGGCAGACACTCAAAGCTTATTTCAATCAGGAGAGACTCGTTCTGAGAGAAAAGAATATTTAGTTACATGTGCGCATAAGTGTGAGAAATGTAGTAGATCAGGGACCCTGTGGAGTCTAGACGCTGATGGTGGTGATGAGATGAGATGAAGAGGGAGCTGAGGATCTGGATGTGAAGAGGAGTGGGCTTTGATGAGGGAAATACAATCAAATTGTTTATTTCAACCTGTATGAAGATTTGTTTCAAAAAGAAATTAAGCTTCAGATAATATATCAGTTATGAATATTCATTACATTTAGCTCCGACAGACAGAGCATCAGAGAGAGTGAGTTACGGCACCTGGCACACCGACACACTGACACAACACCACTTTATCCTGTTAAAACAATCCTCACAACTTGGATTCATTTTATGAAAAACCCTTTTGATTCTTTTGATCTGAGGACCCTTACAGACTGAAGGAATGTGAAAAACTTACAGGATAATTGAGGAATGGACACATAATCTGAGGTAGCAACAACCTGGATTTATAAATCTGAATAACTTATATAAAAATGAACTGCTTGGCAACCAGACCAGGCCTCTAATTGAGACAGGCCTTTATTTGTCAGAATGTGAAGCCACACCAGGTTAGTAAAAGGGACTGGGCGTTTAATTAAAGTTTTATGATATATCAAAACATCTGTTTACAAACAATCACACAACTAATGCAGTGTAATCCATGTCTCGTTCATCCAGTCATATGCTCATGCAGATTGAGGCAGTGGCAGACCAGCAGCTCCTGTGATCAGCAGGGTAAAATTACTGCTTTTGTCAATGGAGTCTGGCTTTGAAGAGAGCACAGATAAAGTTTCACCTTAAGTTTAGTTCCCCATCAGAAAGGGCTGTCTGTTTGGGAAGTGCTGCGACTGGATGAACGAGACTTGGAGTACACTGAACCAGCTGTGTGAGAGTTTGTAAAAGGATGTTTTGATATAATTTTGCTGTTGTTAAACGTGAACCCCTGTGACTCTAATTCATCAGCAATGTTCACCATCGTTGGATTCTTCATTCAACGTGAAGGCATGTAAGAAATTCACAAATTCAACGTGCATTATCAGCCGTGCAGCAGTCAAAGGTGGGACCCTCGGCGTGCTGAGCCCTGACATCACAGACTGGTTCTGAGGCGTCATTATCTTACTATATAAGGAAAACTCTGTGTGTGTGTCTGTTCCACGTTTTTCTCCTCACTGACTTGGTCAATCCATGTGAAATTTGGCACAGTGGTAGAGGGTCATGGGAGGATGCCAATGAAGCTATATTACATCAACCCATAACCCATAACTTCCGCTTATATAGATTTTCCGCCATTTTGAATTTTTTGAA